ATAAATAAATAAAAAAGAAAAGACAAAAAAGAAATAGAATAGTAAAAACTGGCAGAGCTGTAGGGGAAAAGGAATCTTTCTATATTGGTAGGAATGTAACCATTATGGAAATCTGTATGAAGATTACCCAAAATATTAAAACTAGAAATTTTATTTGACCAGTTAGTCTCCTTTTAAGGATCTTCCTGACAGAATTAAAGGCATCCTTACAATGATACATGCATGACATGTTCATAGAAGCACAACTTATAGTCAGTCTTGGAAACAGCCCATGTGCCCATCTGCAGAGAAATGGAGAAAATGTGACATTTGCAGACAATGGAGTCCCACTGCGTTAGTGATCAGCTTGGGGCCCTCATAGGTAAGGACATGCACCTCGAGATCAAGATATTCAGTGAAAGAAATCCGGCACACAAGCTTATGGATCATGTGGCTTCTCTTTTATGAGAAACCAGAAGTATAAATAAAGAACAAAACAAAAGACATTTACTAGGAAGCAGGGAGATTTTAGATGGAGAGAGGAGTGAGAGCTGGAGGAAGGGGGAGGAAAGGGGAGGAAAAGGGGCGAAGAGAAAGACTGAAGGAAAAGAGTGGGAATAGAGTTTTTCCAAATGAGAAAGGAAAAAAACAAATAAGAAAGGGACCAAGAGTTGGAAGGGTGGAAGGAGTGAGAGACAAAAAGAGAATTAAGATTATTAGGTGCATGCACCAAGCTCCCCAGCTGAAATATAATCCTGATGGAGTGAACACATATGCTAATAAAAAAGGACAAATTTATTAAGCCAAAATGTAGGTTTGCTGTTGCCTAAGGCAAAAGGATACAAAAGGACCTGGACTGGGGTGATGGCTAGAGACTGCAGGCTTTCTCTAGAGGATGATAAAAATGTCCTAAAATTGGGATATTAGATGTACAGTTCTGTATATATAGTGGAAATTATTGCACTGTATACTTTAAACAGATTAATTACATGACATGAATTATATCTCAATAAAATGGTTGCTTAGAAAAAACATGTAAGGTTACAGAATCAAGAATATTAATGATACATAAAAAAATTAAACTTCTAATCCCAGTAATAGATTCAGGTAGATTTCCCTCATGGCCTCATGGATGGAAACAAAATAGTTTTCCTTTTACTAAAGTTGTGCTTTCTATGACTCTCACTACAGTCTCCATTGCTTGCATGTGGAAATCATTGACACCAGCTAGGGTTTCAGGCCTCCATGGAAATGTATTCAGACATATTCCCCACTCATGGGGCCGAAGAACCGGGATACAAAGTGCTGCAAACAAGAAAAGACATGTCGGGGAGAAAAATCAGTGACATATGTGCCTGCCTGGCAAGTCCGGAGTCCTGAGTTCAATCCCTTGGCAGGCTTTGCTTTTGTTCATTTATAACAAAAAATGAATAATACTAAAAATAAGAATATTCTTTGCATGAAAAGAAAAATATTCTAGTAATTTCGTTATTATTTACTTTTACATGATACCAAAACAAGAGGCAGCTTACAGGAAAATGATACTTGTATATTAAGAATATTACTAAAATTTTTATAAGTACAATAAGTTCCTAAAATAAATTTCTGAAATGAGGTTGAGAAAAAGCCAAACTTATTAAAAATCCACACAGGAGTCCCATTCTCAGGAAGAATGGGACCGTCGATCTGTTCCCTTCTTTCTCTGGGGAGCATCCTCAAATCTCACGCTGTCACATCTCCTGTGAAAAGAGCTCCTAAAGCTCTTCTGTTGAAAGCTGTGTCTAATCCTGGCCCTTTGCAAAGGTGGGAGCCACCACTGTGTTGAGTCATCAGAGAGAAAACGAAATAGAATGGAGCAAAGAATAGAAACTGCTGATATATTTCTGGACATTTGTCAGAATCAATGGATTAGCACTAGTTAATTTGTACAACTGTACTGGTATTCAATACACATCAAAGTAACGCATACGCAGGAATATCAAAGGAGACCTAGTCAAGGCCTTGGTGGTGCTAAATATACCTTGTCAATTAATGTCCCAAGTTCAATATAGGTATCAAAGAAGTAGATCAGATCAGTTTTACATAATTTATTCTTAGTGAAATTTCCAGCAACCTTTCTTCAACATTAGTTTCTTCTGATCTTCAGAATTTCTTTCACTAACACAGTTACTTCTTGGTGTCTGTGGTAGTTAATATACTGTGTCAACTTCACTGAATCCGATCTGACGGTTCCTGGCTGGGGACCCCATGACCTGCAGGTGGGCAGGGTCCAACCTGGGGCGCTATTGGGCCGGCATTGGGGTGCGACTGTTTCCACCCTAGAGTGAGATTGGTCCCGCCCTGGGGTGCGATTGGTTCCGCCCTAGGGCATGGGCCTCCCCAGAGCGACTCAGCACAAAAAGTGTATATAAAAGAGTTAAGGAAGGCTTTCGGCGGGCCCTGCCCGGCTTCCTTGGAGAAGTCCCAGTCTTCACAGGAGCTTGATCTTCGCCACTTTGAAGGAGCTCTGATCTTTGCAGTGGAGTGCCGGACGCCACAGCTGCTGCTCCTCCTCTGCTCTTCATTGTTTTCTGCCCCCATGAACTGCTATCGTTTGCGTTGGAGCCAGCCGAGTATGAACTGAAACCGCCACAAACTGAGCTACATAAACGTTTCCTTCCTTCATTTTGAATGTCAGGTATTTGTCCTAGCAACGAGTAAAAAGTAACTAAAACGGTGTCCGTGGGAAATTGTTTTCAGCGCTCTCACGCATACCATAATCTGCAGATTCTCAAGTGTTTTACATAAAAAACATAGCACCAAATAGCCCATAGACAGCATCATGCTTGAAATCCTCTCTAGATGACTTCAGATATTTAATGCTATGTAAATACCGTATAAACAGTTGATGTGTTGTTCTGTTTAGAGAATAATGACAAGAAAAGTCTGAGTTGATTGTTTTAAGAATAGAGATTGGTTCAATCTATGCATGTAGATTCTGTGGATGTGCAGGGCCCCCTGTGCTTACACCTGTGCACTATATTCTGAACAAGCCACGCCAGGTGGAGAAAGCCTAACCTCTGCCCTCCCACAGAAGGCAGATACTCTTTGCTGTCAGCCAGCTCTCCAAGGCCAGCAGTCTCTAAGCCTTGGGGATGGCATCAGTCATGAATCGCCCTTTGTGTGGCTTTCACAGCTCCAATGACGGCTCCCTGCAGACATGAGCTACCTGTTCACCACAACTAGTTCAAGTGCCTTTTCTGACTAGCTCCTCCCAGACACCCCAATAAATCTCAATTTCATTGGCAAAAATGAAAAGGTTCACTAGCAGGAGTCATGTTGGCTAAACTCAGAACTGAATGAAGATGTGAAATGATCTCTTCTCCGCCACACCTAATGGTATGTTCCTTTCAAACACGAGACTTTCTTGACCAATGCCTCAGTTAGCTACACCTTCAGACCACCCTTGATGAACTGAGATGAAATTCAGTTCTGCATTCTAATACAGAAAAAATTCTATCATTCTTATTTCCTTTTTGTATTGTTCCAATATTCTCTTATTTCTCCATTGGTTAGGATGCCCCTGAAATCTATGTTAATCACATAAACGTAGAGTGCCTAAGCTTTGAGACCATCTAGAATTATCTGTTTAAATTTTGAGCTCCCCTCCTGTGTTTGGAACAATCCTGATCTTTGATCATTTTAACCAATAAAATAAGTTTCATAATTAACACCTGAAAACTAATGAACATAGAAGACCTAGCAGGGTAGTTGGCTTATTTTAATGCTAAATATGCAGTGATGTCCTTTATTTTTTCAGGGTGTGGGTTGCTTTCCAATTCCCAATGTCTGTGGCCAGGACTTTTCTATACCTGATTTTTCTTACTTCACCAGTTTTCTTGACATTTGCCATAAAGAACAAATGATAATTATGTTCTCTCTGAGCCACTAAAATATTACAGGGGAATACTTAGCTCCAAACCATTAGCTTTCTAAATTCAACCAACTGCCAAA